GAGCTGCAGATAAGGTAATTGCTTCTATTACTGGCAGAAGGGAGGGGAAAATGGGAAGCAAAACTGAATAACGCCCCTGGCAAGATGAAATTAAAATTGACTGCAGTTTCAGTTCCTGAGGTTCAGTAATCTTTACAAACCACTGGAAACAAATGTTCAGAACAGTTATCTTTGTGTGTTCACTACTGTAATATGAAAAAGACTGTAGAATGACCAAAGTGAATCAGACCAGAATTTCTGAAAACTTATTGCCTTACAGTGGCTTTTAATAGAGGCCAAGAAAGGAACTGAGAGGAAACTGGAAGAGTGTRCTGGGGGAGCAACCTCTGACTCCAGCTTTCTGGACTGCACTTATAGATTCAGTGTCTCTGGATAGATTCTTCCCTGCATATGTCCAAGTGGCTTTTTTTTCTGTGCATTTATGTAAAGGTCATGYACTCAGACCTCAGTGCATACTTCCTCCCTACATTGTTTTTGATAATGCCTGTTTATTTTGAGCCTGTCACCTCAGTGTCACCTAAGACTTATTACTTCTCTGTTAGAAGATGCTGAATAATCATCTAACATTTTAGGAATTTGCTTGAGCCTAAGTCAGTGACGCTTGGTGCGCCATAGCTGTCTTATTTTAAACTGAAGATGGCAATTGTCAGAGAATATTTGATACCAAGTCTGTGAGCATTGTTTGCAGTTGTATGTTTGAATAGAGCATGTGAYGGTTTCAGGCTTAGCACAATAAGGGTTTTGTTTCTTTGTGAAGTTTGAAAAATGTCAAGAAGTCAGACCTGCCCTTTGTGGTTTCTGAAATCTGTCACAGGGGCTTTTGGAGTCCACAGTAGCATCTGTTTCTTTTCTCAAGAGACTTCAAATGTTTTGCTACCCGTTGCTGCAAGTATCCGGAACCTACAAGTATCTGAACAGAATTGCTTGAACATATTCAAAAATGTATAGTAAATAAACGGATCGCTGTTTCACTAGAATGGGCTATGCATTAGCATTAGGAAAATACATTCTCTTCTTTGGCAATTGAATCAAGAATACACTTGCCTGAGTGCTCTTTCCTGTTCTGAGGCTTACTGAAGATTCTGGCTTTGTCTCTGAAACAAAAGGGAGGGAAAAGGGTTCAGCAATGTGGATTTTAACTGTAGACTATGGTCCTTAAGTGAACCAGATGAATAAAGTAGAGCTGACTAAAAGGTTTTTAATACTACTTGTACCACTTCAAAAAGTAAGAAAAGTTGAGTTCTAATTGGCCCTTCCCTACCTCTGTGTACAAACTACCGTAGAACAGATCAACATTTACTGGGGTTTTGATCTCTTATGGGTCTGATGCATCCTAATGGAATGCTCACAAGTTTACTGTGTACCTATTCTGCGGTGAGTTGACAGATTTGGCTCATGTAAATAGCTTTTGGCTCAGTAAATCGCTTTACTTTCTGCTCCGTGTTTCCCTTAGGCTATTTTTTTTTTTTAGCAAATAGTACAGACTTCCAAGCAGATACTTTACAGATTAGGTAAGGATGCAGTATATGCTTTCTCTCCTCTTCCAGCAATTCCCAGAGGATGGGACTTGAGCAATTTTTGGCTCCTGGTTTTGTTTTTTCCATCTCTGTGACTTTCCCTAGAAAATATCTAATACCGTGGTTTCAAAAGGTCAGTTCTGCAGAACTCAGAGATCATTCTTTATCCACCTCCAGCCTCCATGTACTTAATCCAGATTTCATTTACACACATGCATTCTGTGGATGAATTCTGAAAATTCTGGGCAGCTTTAAAGAGCAAGAAAGCCACCTATTCTGAGAATTTCTTTTTAAAGAAAAGCCTGTGCATGTGTTGTCTGTGATTTCATGTAAATACATGATTTGGTATTGTTACATTAAAGTCTTGAGTGACAGGTATGATGGTTCAAAGCCATTTAAGTAGATGCATGCATTAGTAAGTTTGCCAGAGAATATGTCTTAATTTGTCTTGGCTGGTCCTCCACTATAGTACCTAGTAACTTTTTCTCCCTCCTCTATTAAAAACAGGAAATTCAGTAAGTTCCTGGTGTATTTGTACGGTAATGGGTGGGGGGAAATTACCTTCTTAGGGACTTTTTAGAAGTCTCTTCTAAATGAGACTTGCTTTTGTTGGATAGATTTCCTTGGCATCTTGTTTGAGTTGTACTACTCACCTTGAAACAAAACAAAAATTGGTATCWCCAATGGAAGGAGACATTATATTAGAATAGAGCAAGACCAGTTAACAACTCTCAGAGGCTGCTTAGCTTTTGGTAGCTTGTTAATTATTATTTGTCATAARTCTTATCTTTCGCTGGTAATCCAAGTTGAGAATCTCATGGAAATACTAGAAAATACTGGTGGAAATGCTGTGGAAAATACTCCAAAGTGTTTTTACCTCAAAAGGCACAAGCATACAGGTTTTATTAGCCATATAAACATAAAYGGTTATCTGTGTGTTAGCTGGACTGCATAAACTATGCCTGCATTCATGTGGCAAATATGAAGATAAAACCTGCAATGAAAGAGTATCACCTAAAGTGGCTTTRTTTCATGTGTGAGATAAGCTAAGAATATATATGTATCTAATAAAAAATTCAGCAGAGATGAACCACCTGCTGTTACCAAGCTGCATCACATGTAGTTTTGTGATATTTGAATAATTGARACTTCTTACTCTTTCCTGTAACCATCTTTATCAGGACTTCCAAATAAACAAGGAGCATGGGGACATTTGAARCTGCTCATCAGGTTTAATCAAAGTGTTGTTTGATTTGTGGTGACAAAAGCAAATTGTTTCTAAAGAAATTCTCAAACTCTACTCATTTGAAATCTTTGCAAGGAATTAGTGGGAAGAGACCAAGGAAAAATATTCATTTAAAGAGAATTGCATGCTGCTGTACCATAAAACAAGACTTTTTTTGAAAAATGCTGTGTAGTATTTGCTGTCTTATTTGAATTTTCATTACAGTTTTGGTATTTATAAAGTACATTCTTAAGACAATTTTACATACTTTTTTATCCCCAGAGTAGCAGGTATTTGTTTTATCTCCTTTATGCTGCCTCAATTSTGTTGTGACTGTGACATCTCATGCTTACTGTGGCCTACATCTTGCAATTACATCCACTGAAACAAAGCTGTAATTAAGGCATGTTTTTTAATCCTCTGGTTCTTTTTTTTTTTCTGTAAAAGGTTAGCAGATGCTATAAATTAAGCCTCATTTTGACCTACTTATTGTTAAAAATTCCATTTTAGAGTTACTTTTTGTAAACTTTATGTGGACTTCCTTAGAAAATTGTGTTGTTAACTGAAATTTGTTAATCCTTCTTTTGGAACAGTCTTGGGTTTTCCAGCTCTGTCCAAATATTGTCCCAGTCCAACTTGATCTGTTATTTAACTAGGACAAAATGTGGCAATCCTTAGTAAAGCAGTAGATTGCCTGTTTAAATAGATCCCACACCGCTGATGTGTGGAATTGAGGCTTTTTTTTTTTCTTCTGGGGTACATCAATCTAAYATGTAATCTTTGTGGAAAGTAATTGTAAAGTTAGAGTTATTATTTGTGATACTCAAATGTGTGTTGCTGTGGGTTAAACAGGTATTCATGGATTTTTTAATGCATGAAGGTAAAATAAGGACAGTCTGTCTCCTATTTCAGCTGCATTAACTCTCAATGGAATGCCATTGCCACTTAAAAAATAAATATAAAAGATCTGATCAGCAAAAACTTTGTCCTGTTTCTTTTTATAGATGTAATTTCAAAAATTCATGCTTTTGCAAAAAAAAATAAAAAAGCCACCTTTAAATACTTTGTCATAAAAACTTGAAGTATTATTCTTATTGCAATGAATAATGCCAGCCAAGGATGCTGTTACTGTTTCTACTGGTCARATGAAACCTCTGTTCTCTGGGTACCTYTAATCTGAAAATAACACTAGATGTRTGGCTAGATATAGGTGTGAAAAAAATGCATCTCTTGGATAAATGTGGTGACATATGTGGACTTGGTGCATCCAGGACACCTCTTGACTCTTAAATTATGGGATTTTTTCTTTGAACAGTCATTGTTAGGACAAGTATTTGTGCTATCAGTGGGGCTGAGTAGAGAATGGTTACTGTTGTCAGTTGTGCTAAAGCATGAGATGCTGCAAAAGCCTTTGTCTGTCTTCACAGGAGTGAAGTAGAGCTAGTAGATTGTGGGATTCTGTAGGAACTGCTAAGGTGGTTGCTTCAATATCATGTAAAACAAATTTAAATTTTGTAACCTACTGATCATAGCTGTGCTTGTAGGTTGCATTCATGAGCGCCAGGTTTTGGATAGAGTGGAGAAATGCACTAAGGAATTGAATAAGGGGACAGTTGTTTTTAAGTGGTTTCTCAAAAACTGAAGAGAAATCAGAAATTAATTTTAGAAGCCACTCTGCATCTCTTGTGTTGGAGTCTTCTGGTGATTTTTCTCTGTCTGAGATTGGGCAGAATGTTGGGCTGGGCAGTCCATCTTAGGCTCCATGCTGAGGCAGCTCATTGTCTTGCAGTTGCCACGGTGGGGGTGGATTGAAAGGTTTTCCATTTGCCTTTATTTCAATGACCTTTTCCATGTTGGGAATAGCAGTTGACTAGGAAAAATCTGAACAGTTGTTTCTCTTCAGTGAGTCCATACCGTTTCCTCTCGAGCTTTGTAAGCTGAAAAATAAATTGAAATTGAGAAGGTAATGTTTTCTGTTTTCAGAATGCCATTTCTGCAAATCTTTGACTTTTTAAGCTTCCCACGCAATACRTAGTTGGGATTTATTAAACTGCTGTATGTGAAGACTTCTGTGTTTAATGCTCCCAGCAGCATGCGTAAGTGAGGTACAATAAAAGTTCAAAGTAATGTCAGCATGTGAAATGTTAACAAGTAAAAGCAGGATAAGATTCTTTAAATATTCGCAGAGACGTAATTTTCATCATCTTCTTTATGCAGTGACTGTGCAGTATTCACAAATTGTTTGCTTATTCTTTCAGGCTAAAGGTTTTGAAGCAGATGTTGGAAGATGTTAGCTGTGGATACTGGGGTTGTGGAGGAGTGGTTATCAGAGTTCAAGGTAATACACTCTCAGATGTTTAGCCAGAAGTGTTTGAATCACTGCYGGCMAAGTATGCAGGAGTGCTTGCATCCTGTAGAAAATGAAAAATTGTAACCTTGGTTTTTGCTGAGACCATGTGATAAATACACGTCTGCTTTGAAAGGATTATTTCCTTGCCTCTTCGGGGTGGCATCCTTCCCGATACAGAGTGGTGAAAATGTATATCATAAATGAATGGTTTTATACGTTTGAGCATCGGTCTTGGCTGCAGGTTTTGCTCCTGCTCTGCTTGRATATGTTTTCCTGTCTGTAGAGTGGAGTCCTTTGAAGGACTGGAGAAAAGAAGTACTGTAAGAGTTATGTACATTTAAATGTATGTCTGCTAAAGGATTGTTAAAAAGATCAGATTTTTACTTCCTTAAGCACTGGCAGAAAAGATTTTTAGTGTTAGAGAAGAGCTGGGATTCTCATCAACTGGAATTTTTGTTTTTCCAGAGTAATACTGTATCTGGTAATAATGCTCACTACCCTTGTAGAGTTGGTCTTGAGAACTCCTTGAAGTATGGATCTGAAAACTAAAAGTTTCACAGTACTGACATCTCAGAGCGAAATTTCAGTGGTGGTTGCATTTTTGTAACCTGTTTTTTATCACTTTCCCATCCACTGTTGTTACATTCTGTATGAAACTGTGAACTCATAGAATGCAGTGTGTCTTCTGGCAGTGGTCTAAAAACATGAGGTTTTCTTTGTGGAGCAAGGTTTAGTTCATAGTAAACTGATAAATAGTAACTTGTAATGGAAAATTGTTGTTGAAATAGCTGTTATATTTAATGATAGAAATGGCTTATAATATTTTTATTTCAGACATTGCCAGAAGCATCCATATCCAGCTATGCTACCAGCTTGAAAGACAAGACTGCTTTGATTTCATCTCTTTACAAAGTAATTCAGGAGCCACAGAGTGAAGTGAGTATKTTGGATCTCTCACCCAAAATGTCTGACCTAACACTAGCAGAACGAAACCAAGATCTTGCATTCCAATTAATYGATGAAGACTCTCTTTCAAAAAGTTTGTTCTCAGCAATGAGATACGATAATGGAGAAAAAATTGTAAGTTTTGTAACCTGCTGGTCATAGCTATGGTTGTAGGTCACATTCATGGGTGTCAGGTTCTGGATATAGAGTTGAGAAATGCATTAAGGAATTGAAAAGATGTTTCTGGCTGACAAAATTCTTTCTGTAATTATCACTTGAATATGGATCTCTAGGTGTCACAAGCTTGTCTATTGCATTTCAAGAGAACAAAGATAGTTACCCATCCTTYTTAAAATCGGGTTGATCAGGTTTTAGTTTTTTAGTTGTTTGAAATACTACAATATAAAGCCATGGATTTATAAAGGGGATGTACCCTTACTGAAATGATGGCAATATATGAAAAAATTGTGGGAAAGGGGGCAGGTTTTCTCAGTACCTGTACCAAGAAGGTTCTGTATCCCATGACTGCTCTTGTTTTAAAGTGTGCAGGTGCATTCAGAGCATGCTGAGCTGGGTTTAATTGTGTATTCTTAACTGCTTTCTACCTYCCAGCAATCCTTTTTTGCATTGCTTTAAAATTGTAACAAATCCTTAATTCCTCTTCTGAAAAGACCCAGAAATAAGGCATCTTTCCAAAGTTTGAGATTATGCCAGCACTAAAGGTCAGAGGATAAAATGCTTTCAGTATTCATGCTTTTAGAGAGAATGCTGGTACTGAGATTCCCAGGTTGTCCAGCAAAGAACAAATGTAATTTTAATTTACTGCTCAGAAAGGCATTCTGAGTCATTCCTACTACTGAGTCAAGCCTGTCTGGTCTTCAGAATGTGTATCAAAATGTAAATTAATCTGATGAGTCTTCCTGTTGATAGCCTAATTAATACTTTCAGATGTTCTTTGATTTCTTACTACTTCTGGCTAKCACTGTGTTTCTCAAGGGCCTTAGTAGCAGGGTGTYGTTGCAAATTCTGCTTGAAAGGGTTGTTGGGATATTCCAGGGGCAAGGTATTGAAGATTTCACTGTTAGTGGGACTTTGAATTGAAATGAAAAGCCAGTGCTGACACTGAGTGATGTGCTGCCTTGGGAAAAAGTCTTAAAATCTTATTTTGGGCCGTTGCTTTGTGGAAGAGGCTACTTGGAGCTTTCCACATTGGGAAAATAATTACAAACTAGCAGCCTAAAAGAAAAGTAGTATCTTTTAACTGCTATYTGAGGATCTGTTAGTGCATTGTGTTGCCAGCTTGCTGTACTCTGTAGAGTATGTGCTGTCCTCTCTTATCTCAGGGCTATAATGCAAAGGGGAAGGATTAATGCATCAACACTACAAATACTGCTGAGTTGAAAAATGGACAAACAACCCCATCTGTACACCTTTCAATATATGTACTTACTATAGCTATTGGCATTGTGAAATGATGATTAATCTTGTTTTGTGGGATGGATGTATTCTCTTTTTTTTTTAAACATTTGGAAAGTAATCGTGTACTTGCATCTGTAATTGCATTTTCCTGCTGATTCATCTTTGCTTTTCGTATAGGTTGTTTTGGTTTCCTTTTCCAAAAGATTAATTACCAGTTTGGAAGATAAATGAACTACTTTTTTAACATCCACTTCATAGTAGCTGTGTTGGTAAAGACTTAGTTACTTTTGAGGTTCCTGGGCCACTGCTAGGTGAAGAATGTTATTCAAGGAAAGGATAGTCTTCAGGAGGTGTGAAGATTTAAAGGGCTTCTAATTGACTAAAGAGTCCCAACATTAAAAAATAAATAAATATGTGACAGGTTTTTTTCAAGATTGAAGGKTTTTTTTTGCTTTTTACTTAAAACACTTCTGCTGTCTTTTTAGATAGGAGCCATGYGGGCATTTGCATTAGGAAATAGTGTTTGAAGTGTCTGACATCCTTGGGTACAGCTTAAAAGGAAGAGGGATGAAATTGCTTGGGCATTCTGCTGTTCCAGAATTAAAAAATGTCTCTGTCCAGATACGTTTCAGAACTRTTTAGTTCAAAATGATATCTTGAAACAGCGACAGTCATTAGTGTGTTTTGATATTAGGTTKCAGCATGTGGTGACATTTTGAGGAAGAAAGTCTGTTTTTGTACTGATTATGCGTTTAACTGTGCTGATACAAAGCTGTCTCAAGTGAGATAATGATGTAAACATGGATACCTGTCACAGCTATTTATGTGCTTTTTAAAGTTCAAGCACATCATTCAGAGCTGATACTTCATTATGGGAAGGATGCAAAATTGTGTGAAAAATGTGAGCTGAAGATGGAACACAGTTCTGCTGGTAAAGTTTTCTAGAATGATCTTTGCTGTGCTGCTTTTAAACTGCTGACTAGTGTAGCTTGGCATGACCTTTTTGCCTTTACTGTAGCTTTTTCAGGGAGGATTTTTCCAAAGTGAAGCTCTATCTCTTGGAAACTAAAAGTTCCTCTTTTTTAGATTGGATCAGGTTGTCCCAGATTACTTCTTAAAAAAGAACTCAAATGTGCTAAGATATTTCAGTTTCAGAAGTAACTTTGGGAGGTAAGAAATGTTGACTTGACTTTTTTCATATTCAGGAGGAAAAACTTAGGAAAGCAAGCACATGTTTTTCTAACATGGTCTCCTGATGATTTTGCCTCCTCTCCTTCAATAAAGGGATGAATATAGAATTGGCTTTCTTATTTGTCTGAATCCTACTCTACTAAAACTAAAGTTGTGACCTAGACAAATATCAGAACTGAATTTAGTAGTTCAGCTGCCTTTGAAAGTGCCTGTTGTTTTTGACAGTGTTTTCTAATTGGAGACGATTAGGAAATCTAATTTCCATACATTTGACACATGGTGGTTAACAGTKCTTCATCCTGTAGCAGATGTAGGTGGTAGCACAAGAACTCACATTAAATCCAGGAACACAGTGCAGGCTGATAGCTTAATTGTTTTTAAATCTTTTTTTAAYTTGGTCTAGCTCAGTGTATTACTTCCAGTTCAATGTTTTATCAGCTTAACAAATTTGATTCTGAAATTACTCTTGAGGCTTCCCATTTGTGTCTCAAATGTATAAATACATTGCAGTTTCTGGAAGATTTTAATGAGAGTGGGAAAATGAACTCATTCTACTGTGAACTAAGTTTTTGTAATRCTTGGAATTTAAGTAAGTGTTAAACAGCTCTTCTTGCTAGGTGGGTAAAGCTTCTAKCAATTTTTGTGTATGCTGTTGTTGTCTTTTTGTAGAATAACAATTCATTTTGTTCAGGTACYTTTCCTGTATATTAGAGATATTAAAAGCACAGTATGAGGTATGTGATAACAACTATCTTCTAGTTGTGCCTTTGAAACTGGGGGAAGTGAGCCTAAATTGAGCAAAAGCAGCCACTGGAGTTCTTTATTCACATGGGATCCATGGCTCTACTTYTATCATCCTAAAGTATGTTAGAGGCATGAAAGTGTGTAAGGTGGTTCGAGCAGTTGTATCAGTCACTCCGTAATAACTAAAATCTAATCTTTATCAGTTTTTATTTTTGTCATCTTATTTAGTTTTGTCTAAAGGATTGATCCAGACAAAGTTGCAGATTTTTGTAATGTGTTATTCAATCACAAGTGTAACTTGTTTTTCAGCTTCTGGAGCCTGTTTGCCATCAGCTMTTTGAGTTCTATCGCAGTGGTGAGGAACAATTGCTACGGTTTACGCTGCAGTTTCTGCCAGAATTGATGTGGTGCTATCTTGCTGTCTCAGCCAGCAGAGATTTGCAGAGCAGTGGATGCATAGAGGCTCTTCTCCTAGGAGTTTATAACTTGGTTTGTATTTCAAGATTTTGTTTCAGAATTGAAATGAAGTGATTGAGTGTTTCAGTCTCAACTCTTCAAATTGGTGTCCCTCAGAAGTGACAACATGAACTGTCATTCTTTGGTCAATACTGTCTCTGCCTGTGGTTCTTAAATTTTTTGTTACTTATGTCTTGGTATGTTGATTAAACTTACATTCTGCTAGAGAATGTTTTGAGGCACTGCTTTTGTAATTGTTGCCCATATTTTCTCGGGTATTTTGACTATCTGGACTGAAAACACACAAAAAAAATTCAAACTAATTCTTAATACTCAACTGCTGAGCAGATTGCTTAGCTTTGAGAAATTAAAAGTCTCAGTTTTGAAATAACCTTGACATTTAAAAAAATATTTTACATTAAAATATCCTGTTTGTTGCTAAATCTATGCTTTAAAGAGCAGAATTAATAAGGAATCCTTTAAGCCACCATATTTTAGTCTTTTTATGGCTATTTAAAAATACTTGGTGTTTTAATATTGGGATTCTTGTCAGTGTAGTTTGTTCTGGTTGTGTTAGGAAGGCTTTCTGTGAAGTGAAATAGTGATGAACTTCAAGTCTCCTCATTCTGAAAATCTGGAGAAGGCAGCTGCTATCCATCTTCTAGAAATAATGATAGGTGTCTTCACTAAGCAAGTGAAAATCCTTTTTTCACCCATGAGTCTAATTAAAAAGACCTGAGCCCTTCCTTATGTTCCACTCSTCTTCAGGCAGAGTGCAGACTGCCTGCCGTTTTCTCTATGCTTCGTTGGATCTGACAAGAAGAACATTCCTGGAAAGCATTAGGTCTTACCCTGTGCCTTAAGGCARTGGCACTCATCTGTTTCCATGATGAAGTCATAAAATGGTTCATGGATGTGGCTGTAATCACTTGTTTTTCTCCCAGAAGAGATTACATTTACAGTTAAGCTGAAACCAGTCTGGTAACATCCTCTCATAGCTGTGAATAGTTTCTTTCTCAATTAGTTACTTGGCTTTCCCCTCCAGCTGCCTGGGGTCATAAGAATTTTATAGCAAGCTTCTCTAGGAGGAAGCTGTAGATCAGCATGACTTTTGGGAACTCTTTTCCCCATTCTGCTTTAAGACATAATGCATACTTATGGTTAAACAGTGCCACAATATGCTGATTTCTTCCCTACTGTTGATGTTGTATAAAATATGTAAATGAAATTATTAAGATGCTATTGTTCTTTAGTATACAGATTGAAAAGGTTGTAGTTGACCTGCTTAGATACTTATTTTCTCTTTAACCTACTACATTATGTTGTCAAAAACAAGAGGAAATACGAAGCCTAATATAAATAGTAATTCCTATGTAAACATGTATGGTGAACTCTTGGAAACTTCACATATTCAGTAGGAGTCCTGCAGTTTCTTGCTGAGGGAAAGTGAAAACTGAAAAATATTGCTCAGAATAATTTTAAATTGACTACATTGTGAAGGGTGTGGAATTGTTGTGGCTGAACCTTGAGGTCATGAACTGGTTTGTTCTACCTTCACCTCGGAGGCATACAGTGGTACTACATGCAGCTGAATTTTTTTGCTTTCCTGACTAGTTAACAGGGTTTTTTTTTAATACACCTCAGATCTTTAAATGCACTCTTGAAACTTAATTACAAATCTGATGAGAATGAAGAACACAAATATTAATATTTTAGAATTTAAAAGTTTGAGTGTTGCCAGTTTCTTAACCTTTCTATATATAGAGGAACATGTTTTCCACATTGATGCAGGAGCGATATTAAAAATTGAAGTATCAGTGGTTTATGTAGAGAGTGGAGGAGCTGTGCAGCTTTACAGAAGAAACAGCTCTGTGTACCTTTCTGATGCTTTTCAGCCTTCCTCTGCCACTTCATATTTTATTTTATCATTGCTATGTAAGTAAAGACGTTCAGCCTTCCAAGGCATGGATGTTAGGAGACACTGAAACTTCTCTCTATTACTTCTGGATAGGAAATTGGTGGCTGAAATTTAGAGAAAAGTAAAATCTAGTGTGTAGTGCTTGTTATTGGTCAAGTCTGCTTTGGATCTTGGGAAGTTTTTTATTTGAAATATGTGAGTGTTCTCCTGTGGTACAAACCCACATCTTGTTTTGCCTTACCTATTAATCTTCTGTTAATGTACAGGAGCAAGAATTTAGCCAGCTACTGCTGTGTTGGTATCTTTCAGGAAAGTGGCTACTCTAAAGCTTTGCATCCATGCTTCTTTTAATTCCACAGAGAGAGTTGTCAGACTTGGGCTTTTGCAAATGCTGTGATGTTTGCAGTTGTCAAACCATATGAGGCTGCAGTCATTGCAGAGCTGTAACATTTCCAAAACAAATTACTTGTAGAGTAATTATTTGGTGGTTAATAGTTTTCAGAACAAAATTATTGTTCATTAACCTTCCTAATTAACAAGTAGAATATAATTAAAAGAAGATAATGCTGTTTAAACATGATGTTTCCTGTTAGTGTTTTTAAGGTGGATTATGTATGCGAATGCATGTGCCCTTGGCTAAGTTATTTGAAGAGTTTTCATAAACAAAAAAACCTGCTGTAATAGAAAAGGGTTAGGTAATTTCTAGCTTGCAGCTTGGATTGTTATAGTATCTCTATYTGCCCCTCTAATTGCATTTAACATTTTTGGATGTCTGGTTTCTGCAGTACAGTGTAACCATTGGTATCTTCTGTCCATTTCAGGAGATAGTTGACAAAGAGGGACATAGCAAAGTGCTGAGCTTCACAATTCCATCTTTGTCCAAACCTTCAGTCTATCATGAAGTAAGTGACACCAACAAAAGGAAGTTACTGGTTGAGAAGGGCATTGTACTTTGGGGGCCTGTTTGTTAAAAGTGAGAAGTAGTTTTAGCATGTTGCATGATGACATAGGAACATAGTTCTCAGATTTCTGAGTGCTGCTGTCTGGTCTCTGAGGTCTCTTTGAGATTGARTAGTCATAGTTCCATAATACCCACGCAGCAACTTAAATATTTTTTTCCTTTTCTGAAGCCATATACTTATCTGGTAAAACAACTTCTCAAATCTAAGACAGCTAAATGGTCTGATAACCTTAAGCCTATTGAAAATTTATATGTAATTGTGGTGAYGGTTATTGTTGTCTGTTTTCACTTGCATTATAATAAGATTTGAGGTGGACATGCTTTGAATGACCCTTTTTTCCTTTAGCCTTCCAGCATTGGCTCCATGGCTCTCACYGAAGGGGCTTTGTCACAGCATGGCTTGTCCAAGGTTGTGTACAGTGGACCTCACCCTCAGAGGGAGATGCTGACAGCACAGAACAGGTGAAATCGTATCCTGGGATTTTGCTTGWCACTGTAATGGATCTGAGCTTCTAATTTTTAGTACAGTTGTAGACTGAAGGAGGATAGTGTTGTGTTTTGTCATGTGCTTTTTTTGTTTTTGAACATGTGTAAATGTAGATGCAGAAAGGTCAGCAAAGGCATGTTACTGCATGTAGAGGAAAATCTTACTCAGTTGTCGATTTTAGTGAAATGCAATGCCAAATCTGTTCAAATAACTCATAAAAATTTCCATGTAAACCTGTTTTCTTTTGAAAGATAAAATTGGTAATGGAATTCCAATGTTTCTTATGAATCCCAGGTTTGAAGTGCTGACTTTCCTTCTGCTCTGTTACAATGCTGCCTTAAGCTACATGCCTGCAATGTCTCTTCAGTCGTTGTGTCAAATTTGTTCAAGGTAATTTCTGTATGTTGTTTACACTTAAAATGTCATTTCCAGCTTGAAATGCAATCAGTTTGGACTTTATAAAAACAAGCTTCGCGTTCCCCAAGGCTGCTTTTAAACTTGACTTCATAAGTGTTTACAGCTGCATTATTTACTTTAAAGTATCTCTTGCATAACTGTGGGTTGAGATCTCAAAACGGGGAAACAATACCTGATTTATATGCAGGTTGAGCTTCTCCCTTACAAGGATAAATCAAAGGTCACTGTTTCCTTTTAATAACAGTAGTTATAGTTGTGTTAAAGAAAACCAGAAATGTCTTTTGAAAGTGCATTTTGCATTGCAAGTTTGTATTGCAAGTTTGCTAAATATATTTGGATGCTGTGCAAGTTTGAAACTTTCTTGTAATTATAGTAAGTGTTGAAACTAGAAACATATCCATTTTTACAGTTAGATGGAGCTTTTCCAAAATAAGCTGTTGCTTCAAAAACCCAAAATAACAATGCAAACACCCCCCAAAACCTCAAAACAAAATAAAAAAAGCCCACCTGAGCTTTAATTAGTGTCTATTTTATTTTTGTCAATTTCTTTTTCAAAGAAGAAAAAATGGTAGTAAACATGTTTGGGTTTTCAAAAGTGTACTGTAGTTTAAGRGAAAAATTAGAATGCTGTCCTTAACCCAGGAAACTCAAGAGACCTAGAAGTCAACTTCAGGAACATTTTTCTAGGCATAGTTCCTAGGCTTCTCTCACAGCTAAAGCATGATAATGGATGTCTGTAAGATTTCCTTTTCTTCAAAGGAGGCAAGAGACTTTGGAGCGCTTGGCAATATTTGCAAGAGTCTTTACAAGATCTTTGCTAGATAAACTGCTCTAAAATATGAGGTAAAAAATAYTTAGAAGCTAAGGATTGTGGAAAGGAGACAGATGTTGCTTATTCTGCTTGATTAGGTTTTGATTGTATTTGGAAAATAATTTTTGAAGCATCAAAAAAAACYCCAAACAAGTTACCAGTAGATGCCAGCAAGTCTTTCTGCTTCAAAATGTTGAATGTTTGGATACTGAATTATTTAATGCTATACAGTTTAACTTCTTTCATAGTCCTTCATCACTAGTTTTGTCATTCATGTTTCTCATCACTAGTTTTGTCATTCATGTTTCTCTGCTTGCTGAAAATCTTACCTTGACATTTTAGAATAGACAGCATGTTAGAATATGGGGAATATGGGTCAGAAGCCCAGAATATCTTTCAGTGTCCTGTTTGGATGTGATGGAATCTATATTATGCTMTTTGGATACATGGAATAACTTGTTTAATTGGTTTGAGCAATGTGGAATTTAGGGTTGTTTTTTTTTAAGATCTGCAATGAATGTGCTTTCTTTTAGTAAGTCTAATTTAATTTTTATCACTTTCCTAAATTACAAACATGGATTGTTAATATGAAAATTATAGCGCAAAATCTTTTCTGCAGATCCCAAGCTGTAAATCCAGATTTTTTGCATCTGGGCAGTTACTAAGTTGCTCTTTATAAGAATGTTATCTTACTCAAATGTCATTCTTGAATTTTTAGGAGAAATAACTCAGGGCTTCAATACTGGTGAAGTATTGAAAGTRTATATAAACCACAAAGGTGATTCTACATTATTTACTAATGACAAATGTATGATTTCTTTAGAATTTGTGTCTGTGGATATCCTCGCCAACAAGTGAGAAAGTACAAGGGAGTCAACAGTAGGATTCCAGTTTCRTCTGAATTCATGGTGCAAATGTTAACAGGGATCTATTATGCCTTGTAAGTTGTTTTTTTTTTTTCTAATATGCCTAGAAAATAGAGAAATGCCAGCCTGATTTGTGTCCTTGCTCAGAAATGCTACCTTGGAGGCATTTCATTTTCTAGTGGGCAGATGTGTCTAGTGATAAGGTCCTTGGGAAGAGACAGTTCTCCAAGTAGTTGGATGAGGTTGCCTGTGTCATACTGGGGAAAGATGGCTAGAGCAGCACTTGATAGGTATAACTGCTGATGGGAAGAAAATACTGTGAAAAGCCTTTTCTAGCCATTGTTGTCCACATTTTTGCATGGTTAGTTTTGACATCAGTCTGGTTAAGGAAAAGAGGTTACTTTTTTCTCTGAAATATTGATGTCATCTAACCTTTGATAGTTGTGTTAATGTGTGAAGCTTACTTAGGGACTGAAATAATGGGAAGCTAGTAATACAGGAATACTCAAAAGGTAGAGTAATATTAAAAAATCCTGTTTGTATTCCAGAATATTTCATGACTAGCTGATCAACTACTAATAATACCATTTTTTAACTCCTTGAAGTGGCCAATGAAAATAAAACTTCAAAATTTGATGTTTTGAAGATGCTACTTCGAAGTTCTCTAAATAGCAGGCTTACTGCTAACACAAGTAGTTCCAAGTCTCTAAACTGAACTCTCAAGGGACACCAGATCTGTGAAGGTTATGTGACCAAGAAGGCTCATCTGTCGACAYAGATGCTTATTCTGTATAATTTTACCTTTGCAGTTATAATGGGGAATGGGATCTGGCTCGTAAAGCTATGGATGACGTTTTGTATAGAGCACAGCTTGARCTGTATCCAGAACCTCTGCTGGTAGGTATTGTATTTCAGCAGTTTGTTGAGTCGAATTTTTAGCCTAGGAAATCCATCCTAGTGAACATGCATGATACAAGATGATGGCAGGAGCCTAAATCTGTGTGTGTGCTCATGCAAACAGCTCGATCTGTGAGTGCTCACACGCACAGGGGTTTTCATTGTACTTATTTATGGTGTCRTGTTTCCTAGTGACCAAGCTGTTTTCAGTAGAACACTTCAAAGTCTTCAGAGCTAAGATAATAGTGCAGCAGAGCCCTGAAGGAATAGCCACATCCCAAAACTGGAAACATCAAGAAAGTGGCCAGTGTTAGCTCTGAGAGCTCATTGCAGCCAATATTCTTTATAGGCTGTGCAAAAAGGTGGCATGCTTTTTCAATTGAATTGAACTCTAAATTGGAATTGTACACAGTACTCTTCTTGAAATAGTAAGAACCTCTTCTAAAATTTGGACCTTTGTGATAAGAACTTAATGCATTTCTTCTGTTTTAGGTTGCTAATGCAATAAAAGCTTCACTGCCTCAGGGTGCCATGAAATCTAGTAAAGAGGGTACAAGATGCATTCAGGTTGAAATTACACCTACTTCGTCCAGAATATCAAGAAATGCTGTGACTAGCATGTCTATCCGAGGGCATAGATGGAAAAGAAATGGTAAGAAACACATTTTACAATGAATTCTCAGCTTTTTCCATGCTTTTAAAATAATATTGAGAATTTTATTATTTCACATATTTATTGCTTATAGGTGAGCAGCAATTTTTAGGTTTTTATTTTTTTGACTGGTGAATGGGAATCCCAGCACAGCTCAGATGATGTATATTCTTTATTTCATTAACTGTTTTTTTAAAAACACAGCACACACAAAATGTTTTTGTTAAAGGGAGGTGTACACATTTGTTCGTCCCTTAGAAAATGATGTTCCTGTTTTCTTCTGAAAAGTAGTGTCTAATACCTGAAGCAAAGTAAATATGCAGCAACTTTACCACAGAACCTCATCTGTCTTAAAGCACTTAAATAAAAAATTATATTTAAGGGTATAGGGATAAATGATTATATTTAGGTGTTGTGGTTTAACCCCCCACACAACAACTAAGCCCCTACAGCCACTTACTCTCTCCCCACAGTGGGATGGGGGAAGAGAATTGGAAGAGTAAAAGTAAGAAATCTTGTTGAAATAAAGCCAGTTAATGAGACAAAGCAGTGCCTGTGAGCAAAGCAAAATGGGGAATTCATTCACCACTTGCCATGGGCAGGCAGGAGCACAGCCATGGCCAGGAAAGCAGAGCTCCATCACACATGACAATTACTTGGGAAGACAAATAACCAAATAACCCCACCTTCCTTCTTCCATTCCCAGCTTTATGTTCTGAACATGATGTCACCTGGTCGGGAACACCCCTTGGGTCACTTGGGATCACTTGTCCCAGCTGTGTCCCTTCCCAGCTTTTTGTGCATCCCCAGCCTGCTCGCTGGTGGGCTGGGATGAGGAGCAGAAAAGGCCTTGGCTCTGTGCAGGCACTGCTTAGCAGCAAAAAAAATACCCCTGTATCAACAAAATACCAACACCATTTCCATCCCAAATCCAAAACACAGCCCTATACCAGATACTGTGAAGGAAATTGTCATTGTTCCAGGCAAAACCTGTATGTTTGGGCAAGGTAGTATAAGGGCTTACACAAATCTGGGCTGAAAAGTAGGGAAAAATGGTGTCAAATGTACTGCAAAAGTAGCAGTATCGGCAAGAGATTCTGTGAGCCTAAATGTTGTGTTTTACCACCTTTGCCATCTTCAGATGAGGGAAGAGCTGCTGGACCAGCCATCAGAATTGGCAATGGCTTGTTCTGTTGGGATTGTAATCCTGGTAATAGGCCAAGAGTGTGAGTGTAAATCAGAGTGCTTTTCTRATAGGGTCAATATGGGTTTTGTAGTACCATTAAAATTTGTCTGATGTCTACTATGGGAGCTTTGTAGTGTATGGACAATTCAGTTAGAAAAAGTTTATCAAGTTACTTSTCATAAATTGACCAAGAAGTAATTCAGGTAAGTGTTGAGAAAATTATTTATTAAGTATGCTGGAAGAAGATTGTTTTAAAATGATGGTAGAACTTGGTGGTAGAACACATTTGTRGTAGTGGTACCAATAGTAAGCTGCCAGAGGGGATGAAGAACAAAGAAAGGTAAAATTACCAAATTTCATTTCATTTGATTAAAAACTGCATAAAACTGTCAAACAAACTTGAGGAGCARAACATTAGTGTCTTCAGTGAGAATGAGTAGCAGGTCATTACTGACATCTCAAGGCTGCTAAGGACCATTTAATTTTTCTTTCTTCAGCCTTAAAATTATTAAGCATGGGTTATTGACCAAATGCAAGAAAACTTGGTATGATATCTTAGCTGTATGGTATCATAGCTTTTAAATGAATAAATGCCCTCTGCAGCTTGGCAATTGTTTTAGCTGTTATTTTTAAATKATTTTGATGCTTGCTCAAATGAGATGGTGGCGGGTAACACAGATCAGGGTTACTGAGTGCTAGCTCATCCAGAGAAATTGAAAGTGTTTTAAAATAAACATTCCCTTTGTCTTTGTGTTTACAGGAGACCAAAAYGTTACAAAATGAGTAATGGAGACATCCTTATAAGAAAGCAAAATTTTCAGCAAATACAGAAATAGAGAAGTTTTTACAGTTATTGCCTCCTTGCAGGGAGTGCTGCTTGATGAAATTCAAGGAAAAATGTGTGGGACAAGTGTGCCCTGCAGCAGATAACAGTAAGGTGAAAGGGAAATGAGACTAATAGTTGAACTTCGAAGTGGGGTGGAATACTGTTTTATGAGAGTCTTACAAAGTAGCACAAGTTGAGAGAAACAGCAATAATTTAGATAGTGTCATCCAAGCAAATAGTAGTTCAGAGATGAAGATGGAAAGAKTAAGGACTTTTTCAAAACAGCTCATTTTAACATCTTGTTTGGGTTACTGAGAAACTGTTGAGACAAATCCAACATTATGTGATTTAATGAAGAGGAAGAAAATCACTTTGTGTAGAGTGGGTTGGAGTGGAATGTGTGGCAGGTTGTGGGAGTAATTGTAAATTTGAAGGCTATGCAAATATTAAGCTAATTTATAGTCCAGAGCTGAATCTGTGGTATCCAGCTAAGTGACTGTCAGCTGTGCTGTTTTAARTGGTAAATATTCCACACATAAATCACTTTGGCTAGTCTTCTCAAAATTTTCATTATAAAATCCTAACAAAACTTTTGTCGGTGACTTAAAAAGCCTTTTTAAAGTCAGAGTGGATCGTAGCCTGATTTCAAAATTCCTAATAACCTAATTCAGTGCCCCACAATTCCTGAGGAAAGAAARATATGAAACACATCTTCAGGATCAGCATGCAGAAAGAATAACAACRCTTGTGCTTACAGATGCTTGTTTGAATTAAAATGAATACTGGAATTGGTAGAAATTAGATGACAAACCTTGTACCTWCTGACCATTATTCTTTCTCTCACACAGTGTAAGGRGAAAAATGTAGTTTGGYTTTTTTAATTTTTTATTTTCAATATAATAAAAAGGAGTATAAATGGATTAGGAAGTCAGAGGAGACAGCTGAGAGGTATTTTGATATTATACATTTTGGATTAGGAGATCTGATGAAGCAAATTATCTCTTGAGAAAGCAAGGGCAGCAGTTTTCAATCACTAATTATGTGTGTAAAATAAAATAGAAGAATCCCAGTGAATCACATTTCCAGCTGAGAAACATGGGCTTTATTTTCTTTATCTTTAAAAAAATTCATTTTACTATGGAAGTTTTTAGACATTAAATCTTGCTAGCCTTTGCTATAACTCTCGATTGAAGTCAGTTTTGATTAAAGGTTGACTTAACATTGAATCTTCTTGTGATACTTAACCCTGTAATTTGTTTATAAAGAGCAGCTGCTTAGAGGGACTTTCTAAATGCAGTTAGTATTGTGAATTTGGACTTCACCAATGGGTACTTCAGGGGTGCTAAAGGTGAGGGTGATTGGCAAAATGGATCCCTCTAATCCCAARTGGGCAATGTTTATAGTAAGCTGATAGTAGCCACTACTTAGCAACAAATTGTTTAGTGCTATTAGATTGGATTATAAATTATCATACCTGAAGGGGTGCATTAGCTCTTCTGTGTGTAGGAGAAACACTCTGGTGTAACAGACTGAGAAGAGCTAACCAGATGTTGGTAAGATACATAACAGAGAATAGAGATGTCAACTACTGAAGAAGGACAAGAAGTTGCTTTTTTCCTAACTGCAGAAATTGGCTTTCATGTAGTGCACAAGGTTTAGAAATAYTAGTCTTTCAATTCTCTCTGTGGAGAGAATTTTCTTACTTTTTTTTTTTTTTAAAGTTGTAACTTGAAAGAATCTGAAATTAAYGCTTATTTTGGGATATTGGTCTGATGCTTTTATAACTAATTAAAAATGCTAACAGAGTTGTGCAGGACATGCAACTTATGCTTGTGGGGGTTAAAATGGAATTACAATCTGAATGGGAAGTTTGCCTRTGCAGCCTGAGGTAAATGATCTAGGCAACCATAATAATAAGGTAACCTATCATTTTGAATTAAGTCTTAGCAGTTAGTAATCATGAAATGCATTTATCAAGGTTGGTTGTACCACTCAAAGCATTCAGAAATATGACACCAAATGCATTTTCCTTTAACTGCTGTATTTATGTTAACATTCAAACTTACTTAGTTTTGTCTCTACGCTATTCAGCAGTGTCCTTGATTTTCTCTTTTGCTACATTACCTTGTGCACTGGGTATTCATTTTTCTCTCTCAAAGCCTAGACCCCCAGAGCTGTCCAGCTTRAAAGCATTATTATCTTCATAACCAAGCACTTTGAAGCTGAAGGTTTTGTTTAGGTGTTCTTAACAGTTTTAAAATAAGTAGGGTATACTGCTACAAAGGGCATGGATTGTGTAGTCCTATCCCTGTCCCAAGGCTGTAGATGCTATGGTAGACAGTGTTAATGGGAGCTGAGATACCCGGTATCCCATTTTTCCCTTGGCTTCCTCCTTTAGTTAAACTCAAGTATATTTCCTTTAGATGTAATTAGAATAAGTAAAACCTTTAAAAGTTTTTGGGTATTTTTTCTCAGTTCATTGTAGTAATGGTTACACAGCAGTGGAAATGCAGCAGTGRTGGGTGAAGTTCTGATATCACAGCAGGATAGAAATGCACACCACCAAGTAATAATAAATGGGTATTGCTTTKATACAGAATCTTCTATAAAAAAAAATTCCTCTGATTTCTGCTGTGTACTCTGAGTCTTCTTTCTTTGGAGTTGGATAATTAGTGCTTTTCTGCCCTTGATGGGAAACGGACTGACAGTTAAGTCGTGTTCTGTCCTCTTCTGTCTCTGAGGCAGCAGGAAGGAGTTCAGAAGATTGCCRTAAGAGAGGCAGAGGTTCCTCACCCTAGCGAAGTTGGAGCACTGAAGCCAATCAGAGCATTGGTCTTCTCACTAACCTTTCTGCTCCTGTGTTTTTAGAAAAAAAGGCCATATTTTATGGTGGTATCATTATCACAATTGTTTATTTCTTATTATTACTGTTGCATTTCATGGAACTTGTTACCTTTGTTACTGACAATAGACGACTTTTGCAGAAAGTGCTGTTGGGAGTCAGTGGTTTTGAGTTCCTCCCAAACACCAGGAATTTAGAGCGGAATAGTATCAGTTATTAATGTAATTTCCTTTGGATAATGCAGCTTGTTAAATACTTTCTAACTAATCAATGACAAATGAAATACTTACGATGATTAGAATTTTGAGGTAAAATAAGGGATAGCTCTTAGACCAGGGCACACTGATGTCCATCCCTGCCAGAATAACCTTCTGTCTCAGTTGTCATCAGTGCACAAATGCTCATGAAAAGCCCAGTGCTGGAGCCCCCCTGAGCAAGGAGGACACTGCAGGAGAGTCCTCAGTGAGGGGGACAGGAGGGAGGGGGATCCCCTTGAGTTAAAGAGCATTAGTGCTGCCACTCTGAGATGCCATCTCATTGTAAATTCCTCTGGTTTTGCACTTCATACTGTCAGTTCAATGTGCTGCCAACTTCTTTCATGTGCAGTAGCAAACTGGCAGCGTAGTCTGGGTGGTCCTTATTTAATCCTCTGGTCTGAAAGAGCTGCGTTATGAATAAAACAGGGATTCGGTTAAGCTTTATTCTGAGCTGTGCTTTTAGTGCATTTTTAGTCTTGTCAAGTTTCTGTGCCACAGCGTTCTTCTCCGCTAGTTTTTCTGGGGTATCCAGAAATATCTTTCTGGTTGAAAATAGGTTTTTGAAATGAAGAAAGAAAATGGAAGTAAAAGGGTTGTGCTTGACTTGGCTTTGTTGTTTCATTGTTAGTTTTTAGGCTGACGGTGGTGCAGCACTGACATTGTGCTTGTAGAATTTCTAGTCTGGCGTGATAATACATGAAGTTGATATRCCATTTCATTGTAAAAGTGAAGTTTCACTCAAGCTTGGTGATACAAAGAATATAATCATAAAAGGGAATTATGAACTGTTCTTTGGTTTCTGATCATCTGTTTTGTGATCCTCAGAAATTTAAATTTTGAAAGATCGAGGATGTGTCCTTCCAGTATGTGGTGCAGGCCAATAATTKAAAGATTGAACACTGCAATTGTAAAAATAAAGCAAAATTTCATACTTGCTAATGTTGCTAATTAACAAGAGTTTAATATGTATACATCTGCTTTAATTTATGATGCTTAAGTCATCTGTATCTATTGGCTTTTGTTTCATGTTTTGTTTCAGACATACTTTGTTTTTTTTTTCTTATCCATCTTTAATTCTAGAACAACCAGAGAATGGTAATGATGCTACTGAATTGGGCAACTTTATCATACCTGAGATTAGTGTCACAAGTGTGGCTGGAGAGAGGACCGGGAATGGGGAAAAGAGCAGAGCTCTAGCAGAGAATGATGTTCAGCATTTACAGGGAGTACAGGATACAGCTACAGATCCTAGAACTGACAGCAAAGGCATGCCAGAAATCAGGAGGCAAAAATCTGTAAGAAAAATGCTGGAGGATGGAATAAACTCATCTGGCAGAGTGCAGTTTTAGCAGAGCACTTTGTAGCTGCACTCTAAGGTACCGCTGTTGATTGAAAGGGTCACTGCTGCATGTTTCCAGAATTAAAGTATGCAGTTAATATATTTGCATGTGAAATAACACARTTGCATGCATTGCACACAGCTATGTCTGTGCCACAATGATGACATACTTACAAGTAGGTCTGTTTAATCTGGAGAAAAYACATTGAGAGTAAACATATCTTTGAGTTTATTAAGCATATTTGTTGGAGTTTACAAAATCCAATGATCAATGGTATGAAAAATCCATCAAAAAGGATGTGAAAAGTGTCTTGCCATGTAACTCAGATTTCCCAAATTCTACCTTTCATGGTGTGCTGATCTCATGTTGTGCTTGAGTTTTTGACTCGTACCACCAGACCTGTGATGCAGAAAGTGACCTTTCAGTCCTAAAGCATTCTCGGGTTGCTAAACATGCAGGTGCCATACTGGGTGTCCTGGAGCATTGATCACATAGCTTTGTAATTAACAAGCTTTGCCAAATCATGTAGTGGATCACTTGCTCAAAATAAGATTTATACTTTTTTCTGTTCTGTGTGGTACTTTCTAACCTCTTAGTTTCTAATTTCCTGCATGAATTAACAAGACTGCATTTCTTTTTTTTTTTTTCCGTCTTCAAAAACACAACAAAATGAGATTGGGGGCATGCTTTTTGATGTAGTTAATGCGGCATTACTTGCTGTAACTCTATATCCTAATGAACCTTAATTCCAAATTGTCATGGAATAGGTAAGTGTTGTCTTCTGTTCTCTGTTCTATTGCTTTATGGCTTCATGCTTGTAATCAAAATTGAGCAATATGTAAAATCAATCAATGTGACAGTCGATTTCTAATTTTTAATTTCTGTTTCTACCATGCAGATAATTCTGACTTAGCCATTGAAGAAGAACTGATAGAAGTATCTGAAAGCGATGAAGGGTTTTACTCTAGGGCTACTTCTAGTGCAAGTCAGTCTGCCCTATCTAACAGCAGCACCACGAGCAGCAAGAACCTCTTAGGGAAGAGCCAACGAAGGTCTGGAGGAAGCAAACCTGGAGGAAAGGAGAAAGAAGGAGAAACCTGCAGAGAGCACTTATCACGAAAACAAACTCAGAGAGCCATGAGTGAGAATCTGGAGCTTGTCTCTCTGAAGAGACTGACACTAACAACCAGCCAGTCCCTGCCTAAGCCTGGCAGCCACAGCCTGGCCAGAACGACCACTACTGTGTTTAGTAAATCCTTTGAACAGGTCAGTGGTGTCACAGTTCCAAATAATCGTGGTGGTGTCTCTGGTTCAGAGGCAAACAGGTTTTCAGCCTGCAGTCTTCAGGAGGAAAAATTGATATATGGAACAGAAAGAACAGATCTTCCTATTTTAAGCAAACAASCTAATCAGCAGCGACCTCCTAGTATTAGCATAACTTTGTCAACAGATTGATATTAAATTGGCCAGTATGAAAAATAAATTACTGAAACTTTATCCTGATATTGGTACATTAAGCTCTTTAATATGCCATACATTACTTCCTTAAATCTCAAATGCRTAAATACTTGGCTCATGTTTGACAGTTACAGTGAATAGACAACAGTTATAATTAYTTTGAGTCAACTTCTGATAGCTTTATAGCTTCATGAAAAGGTTATACCTTCACCAACTGAACAARCATTGATTGCTTGATTGTCACTGACCAAGGTGTGTGACTTCTTACAGATGTACAATGTGGAAATAAATAGAGCCTCTCTCCCAGATTCTACTTTTTGACTACCACTTCGCATAGGCAAAACTGCAAGTACTTGGTTTTTTTTTTTTTTTAGGAGGATTCTTGCAGTATTGTCATGCAATTTTGGAAAAGCATTGTAAGAACAAACACTGTCTTACATGAGCCATGAGAAAGCTGTGCTTACATGTAAGGTTAAACTAGAAGCATAATTTCAGTGTTCAATGTCCTAGTGGCTTTTGTATTGCTAGTTAGTACATGTTGCAATGTTTGTTCTTCTTTATGCCTTTGTAAGTCTGATTTTAGATGCATTTTGGTTTACCTGTATGTCTTCAAAACTGGGCCAAACTAATACAGCAGCAGTACTCATGGATGGGWGTTATTATCCTTTGCTATAGTAGTTGCTCTTTACACTTAAAAATTATGTGACAGATTCCAYCTTTCTTTAGGATTCTTAAATATCAGTTCCAAAACTACTCACTGAAAAGTCGGTCATCAGTGTTTTTATTGTCTGTGGGGAAGAGATGTGCTTATTTACCAATGTTATGTAGAAATATGAGCCCTTTGCACTGACTCAAGCAAATCAGGACTGTGAATGAGCTTAACATGATTTTTGTTCTTGAGACTAAGAGAATACTACCAAAGGACATGTACTTTCAGTACCTTGCAAGCACAAAGGGAAATTATAATGTAAATATAACTAGCACTGTAATTCCTAGGGTGTTTTTTATATCACTTTTCTAGTTTGAAATTCTAAACCAGCAACCTGTTCAAAGTTTTACCTAACCTTCAACCTTCAGTGAATTTGTTTGATAACAACTTTTCTAACGTTACAATTTTAATTTAGAATGGACATTAAAACTTCTTATGCAAAAATCTGAAGAAGCAGTAGCTGACAACACCACTCCAGAAGCAGTTATTAGCTGTTAARCAGGCAATATATTATTATGAGTGGAGAAATAGGATGAAGATCTAAGGCATAGTGGCTCCCAGCTATCCAGGTTTCTGCAGCTGTTAATACATTACTGTCAAGAACATTGTAAAAAAACAAACACTAAAATTCTGGTAGACTTCCCCATTTKTCTGAGATAAGTTTAGATACTCCTTTTTGTATTCAACTGAAGCACAAGTAACTTCTAAACAGCAAATGTTATTCAGGTTTATAGCAATTAATAAGCTGGTTAATTAACGAAATGAGTAAGTAAGTTGTGTAATTGTACTACTAAGACCACAAACTGGATGTGTGTATTCCTTAGAATTCATCAAAGTATGCAGAATAACCCCATCAGTCTGTAGGTGTTGGTATTCATTTGAGAGCCTGAGTTTAAAGGAATGTGCCACCATTTCTTATTCTTTATTTTGTTGTGTGACGCTGTTTGATTCTGGTAATGCAGTACTTCACCTTTTCACAGTGAAGTATTTCCTACTTTTACATTAAAACTTGTATTTCTAATGAAGAAACTACRAATTTGCCCTGTTGAGTTTCTAATACTTTGGCCAGTGAGAAAAACTGGTTCTTTAAGGTTGTTTTTGTACACACTTCTACAGCAGAAAATTTRGCCTCCTTTTAATAGGTTTTTCTGCAATACACATTAGAACATTTGTTTCACATTGACTAATGCATCTGGCTGCTGGACATGCCTAACCACAAGCAACTGCAGAGTGTCAGGCAGCTGATAGTAGGCACTGGCTATCTCTACACACAATGGATGTMGACCTCTTCCTTCACTTGAAATTTGTTCTAGATTTTGCAAAGAAATAACCTACAGAACTTAACATCAGTTTCCTGATCAGCTTTYGCAGTGTAGGATCTAAGAATTGTTTGGAAAAAAAATTGCAGTAATTTAAATTGATATAAATTAGAATAGGTAAATAAAACTGCAGTAGACAAATATCAGTTGTTATAGTATTRGTTGTGAGGTAGCGTTGAGCGTCTAGAATTTTTGAGAATTCTACTGGTTTTTGTTTGCTTCATTTAATTTATGATTGTCTGTTACCACCACTGTAGACACTCTTTCAAGCAGGATGTTGATGTAAAAGATACTTATTATACTGCAAAGATGTAGTTCTAAATAATTAGAATTTCAAAGGATCTAAAATGCCATAAAGTGTAGATATGTAACATAATGTTTCCAGTACTCTTGGCTACAAGGAAAATAGTGTTGAAATAGTTTATCCTTTTATTTTATCCAGCTGGGCTGGCTTGATCCCAAGACAAAGGCTTGTATTGGTACAACTGAAATAGCATAAATCTTCATACTTTTTTGAGAAAATGATAAAAGGAAGGGTTCTTGGTACTAAAGGCTGTTTTTTCTATGCATATGTGGTCTCATATAAATACGTATGTGTTTGTCTCTGGAGTAACTTACTCAGTGAGCATGTTTTTGTGAGCTGACATCACACCTTCATACTGATCGAGTCTAAAAAATTTCTTTCCTGAGTACCAAAACTTTGAGTTTCTTTCTTTTCTTAAAAAGTGAGAAGTTAAAAAAAAAAAAAAAAAAAAAAAAAAAAAAAAAAAAAAAAAAAAAGCATGATAAAGGAGACTGAGGGCAGAATTATTTGTTGTCCAAATATCCATGGTGCAGGATTAGGAGAAGGGTGGGGAGAGACATGGGGGAAGGAAGCATTGAGCAGGAAGCAGATATTTCTAAAATTGTCAAACTCTGGGGGTTTGAGTATTTTCGAATCACTTCAGACTGTGGAATAGAAAATCTTTGTTAAAGTAGATGTCTTGTAACAATGCAAAGGAAACCCATTAAGACAGCCCATATTACAGTGGGCCCAGGAGTGGGTAGTTCTGATGAMTACCTTCCAAACACACACAGCTGCAACATTCTGCAGGGAAAATGTTATGTAGGAGTGAATCATCTCACTTTGTAATAGGAGAAGTTGTTCCAATGCTGACGTTTATAACTGACCTTACTGTTCCAAATCAGAGGGCACTGTTTCCAAGGATGGCTTTGAGCAGCAACACTTTCAAAACTCATTGAAGCTGAGAAGAATTATTTTCTTTTGTGAGAATATGTAACATTTGTGCAAAAAGTGTATGGCCTCTAACCACTTGCTGTAGAGCTGCAATGACTTTTTGGAATGGATTTAAATGTCATGTATTGCCTTGATTACCTAACAGATTTGAAAGGTACAGAAATATATAGCTATTTTAGCCACACTTCTCTCCAAAGGGGTTTCCTGTGAGAAATTCTAGAATTTTCTAATGTAATTGTCTGATACCTTTTGTYGGTGTTTGAGGCATACAGTGCTGTATATAGGTGTGTAATATATTGCCTTTTGTATTTGTATAATTCTCCTTCTAAGACTAGATGTGCACATTTCTTGATATTCCCTGAAGTCTGTGGAATATCTGCCTCAGTCTGTAGATGTCTGTCTTCACATCAGAACCTGAAATTGAGCAACTGCCACACTTTCATTCTTCAGCTCATTATGTGACACTGTTCTTTGTTTTAGTAACACAGTTTTCCACCTTTTTTGCAGTGAARTGTTCTCTTAATTGTACAAGAAAACTTACATTCCTAATGTATAGCCTACAAGATTGTCTTTTTAGTGTTTAATAATTTTGTCAGTAAAATAAACTGGTTTTTTTTGAAGTTGTATGCTTTTGTAAATACTTTGTACAGCAGAAAATGTTGCCTCTTTATGACTTTGTCGAAATACACATTACATAGCAACGTATTTGTTCCGTTTTCATTCGACACATCCAGAAGTCACAGTGATGCTAACTGCATTACTTAAAATGTGCTGAATACCCATTTTATACAAGGTGGAGTCTGCAACTCAAGAAGGACACCATGGCTGAGAAACAYTGATGGGTGAAGGGCGAGTTCAAGCAGGTGAGAAGCAGATGATGATCCTGTCAGTAGTGTAGCACTGCCTGGGCAGCTTGGTACTTCTGGTGGTCTGAGTATCAACAGTGGTTTGATGCACAGCCATTATGTGCAGTGTGCCCAGGGTTCCTGGGGCTGCTCTTGTTGCTAACAGCAGAAGCACAGGTGGCAGTGAGTACCTTGGCCTTTTCTGTATCTCCTGGCAGCAGATCTCTGCCCCACTCAGCTGTGGTACCTTATTTTTCCCTGGTCATCTTGTTGCTGATCAACTCTGTGAAATCTTTTTTTTTGTTTTTTTGTTGCCCTTCACCTTCCTTGCCGCATTCCACTTCATTTGGGCTTTGTCTCTCCTAACCCTTTTGTCTCTCCTAACCCCACCTGGGCATGCCTAGATGGTGCATCTCCCCAGGTCTCCTGCTCTTCCTTCCACCTGTTATGTGCTGCTTTTCCATGTCTGGTCAGCAGCTCCTTATTCATGCATCCATGCCTTCTCCTGCCCCTGCTTGCTTTTTGTGTAGCCAAGAGACCATTCCTAAACCTGGAAGAGATGGCTCTTGAGCATCCTCCAGCTCTCCAAGGCCTTTCTCTCTAGGAAAGTCTCCCAAGGCATTTGCAGAGAGATTCCTGTGCAAGGCAAGTTCTGTGCTGTAGGTTCAGGGTTGTGATCCTGCATTTAGTTCAATGGGTTTTTTTTTTTTTCCTTTTATTTATAAATGTCTCTGGTGCAATGCTGTAGAGAAACCTGGATGAATGAAAGCTRTAGTAGAGAGCAGCAGTGGGAGATCTCACTGCACAGTTTCCTTTTATTCAAGCACCAGTTTTTAACCTTTTCTTTTGAATGGGCAAAACTCAATTTCCCTTTATTTAAATGAGTGAGAAAGGAAATCTGATTCTAAACATCAGAGTGGGTAAAAGTTTTCCTTTGCAGAAGGTACAAATTAGCCTTGATGCTGTGATTATGCTGTAAGTGTGTAGGATTTGCAATTTTGGTTACAGTGAAAGGCAGTGCTTAAAATGGATTCTTGAGTCATTTCAGGCTGGAATAGCTATTGATTAATGAAAGACAACATGAATTTCAGTACCTTTGCTCCTCCCAAAATGTGGTACTCCAAAATACAGCCTGTGTTTGGAGGATAAGAGTAGCGGAGAGCCTGCTGGACAATTCACAGGGRAAGGGTTGTGTGAAGGTATTACAGGCAATTAGTAATCAATTACAGAAATTACATTTGTTCCTACAGACTTCACAGCTGGTTGCCTGCACTGAGCTTGTAATAGYTGTTTTTCATGTTTTATGTTAATCTAGCTCTGTATTAAAGATGACTTCAGTATGGGGGTTTTCTCCCAGCCCACAGCTGCCAGCTAATAACTACAGCTGTTAATTCAGGATAGTGGGAAGAATGTCACWGTGAAGCTCCAGAAGCCTTTGTGAAACAAGCCTTCACTTTGCACGGTGCTYGCCTCGTTAACTTGATTCTGAAAATAAGGCTGTGTTTAATCATCTGTTACTCTGCATGTGCTGGGACAATACAGGAATTTAATGGTGCGGAAGGACTTGTGGAAGTCAGTCTGAGTCACACAGCACTTCTGACAAGCTGCCTGGTTGTTGTTCTCATCAGTAGTGCTGACTAATACTGGCAGTCCTCCACAAAGAGTTGCTTGGTCTGGAGTCTGATGATAGGTTTTTCTTCTGTGAGAGGGCACATTTCAGAGGTGAGAAGTGTCAGCTTTTGTCTCCACAACACACMACAAGGTAAGTGAAGGCGTGCAATGTACTGGCATAAGTCCTTGGTGTGGATATGATTTCTGCAATAGTATAATGAACCAGAATGATGAATATTCAGTGCTTTTTCTGAAAAGATACTTCCTTCAYGCATGAAATCAGAATCACAGAATGGTTTGGGTTGGAAAGGACCTTAAAGATCATCTGGTTTCAGTTCCCTTGCCATGTGCAGGGGTGCCACCCACTAGACCAGGTTGCTCAGAGCCCTATTTAACCCGTCCTTGAACACTTCCAGGATGGGGCATCCACAGCTTCTCTGGGCMRCCTGTTCCAGTGTCTCATCAYCCTCACAGTAAAGAATTTTTTCCTAATAYCTAATGTAAACCTACWCTCRGTGTGCAGCCCTTGCCCCTTGTCATGRCACTACATGCTCTTGTAAATMATCTTTGATTTCACTGAGTCATTGARTATCACTCATTTCAAAACATACATATAAAACATKAATGTATGTGTATATATGCATTTTACATATAATGTTTCCCTCTTCAGCTACCAAGGTATGGAGATTGTAGAACTGTCATGGAGACTGCTGGAGCTGGAAAAGGCTCGGACCAGCACTGGTGTCAATGACCTAAGATACCACCTAAAGTAGATGTAGTCAGGTACTGAAAGGATATATTGTCCCTGGTATATTTTYCTTATGTTTTTATCTTCCACGAGTAAATTAATTTGACTATACATTGTAAAGGCTCTTGAACTTAGTCCTTAAAGATGTTTTCTTTTTTTTTAAAAATTACAATATGCATATTTTTTCCTTTTGCTTTTCTTAGTTGGTAAAATGCATTGGGTTTTCATTATTGTTAATAACCTGCAGTTCAGACTTCACTAATAACTGGAAGTGAATTGAGATAGTATTAYATGTGATAGCATTTTGTCAACCAACTGTCATACCAAATGTCATCTTTCAGCAGATTGTCCTGCCCCTGAAATGTTGGTGTTTAAGAAATCTGTTATAATAAATCAGTAGAAATACTTTCACAAGGTAACGGCATGATATTTCCTCAGGAATTGTTTACATGTTATCTTGTTGGGATTTATATTCCTCATTTCAGCCATTAGAAAACACCAATCCAACTGTTCTTTAGCAAAGCTGTTTGCATCTCTCCCTGTATTGATTGGAGAAAGGTACAGGCACTGTCAAACCAATTCAGGAGCTAGGAAGATCCTTTCTGACACCTGTAAGGTGTTTATCTCATCTCTTCCTTCTCACCCTGAACAACTGGCTTGGCATGGCTGCTTTCTTACTGATTCCAACTGGATAGAATCCTTGCACTCCCCTTCTTGCCACATGAAGCCAAAAGAAGCTTTAGCACAGCATCAGTGGTTTCAGCAGAGCTCTGAATGTCAGCAGCTGTCCCCTTTGCTAAGGCCTTACAAGCAGCCAGATGTCGAGGAAGAATAGATCTGGTCTAGTGGTTCTCTGGCCAGTCTGTAAAGCTCAGCTTGAGAAAACACGGATAGGTGCTGGGATTTAAGATTCAAACTGCATTTGCTCAGATTATGTGACTAATTATGAAGTAGTTGCATTTTCAACCATTTTCAAATGTCTAAAGCAGGGAAGAAAGAAAGAAATAGATCACGAATCTCTCTATATCATTCTCATTTCTGCTATTCTTGCTCTATGATCCCACTTAAAATATGTAATACTGTTACCAGCTTTTGAATTTTAAGGTAGAAGAGCAGCAAGGCTGTTAAATCTTCGTTACAACTGGATGATACATGTTCAGCTCTAGCTGAGTCCTCTGAAAAATCTTGATTCCTAATAATTTGGGTTGGGAATGAGCTCTTTGACTCCCTTGCATACTGTGTCTAATTCATAACTTTAAATTTCCTTGGTCATCCATGAGAGCTTGCTTTTTCCTGCAACCAGTATAGAAAGCCATGCTACAAAAGCATTGAACCTAGCAAAACCCTGCTAGTTCYCTGCTTTGGCATCATTACACAAAATAAAATGTGCATGTGGACAAATAAGAAATTACTGAGTGATCGATTTCTCCAAGATCCACACTGCATGACCCACCCTTCTCATGAAACATGGCATGTGAGATACAAACTGCAGCACAATACTTGTGCCCCATTCTCGATGAATGACAGGGTGTTATTTTACCTTAGGAGCAGTATTGGATAAAAAAATGGTGATGTTTGGGAGCAGAAGGAGTTTTGACACATTCTGGTAATGGTGAGATGAGTAACTTCTTAAATACACTGACAAAATTAGTTACTAGGTAGATCTACTTATAAGATACTCAATGCCATAATTTAATTTCAGGCAGAAAAGCAGCCCCTTGGAAGAATCTTGATTTTCTCTTAAGCTATTGAACAGTTTTAACATGCCTTGACATTCAGTACCACGTTCATAATCCCTGTAATTATTCCTTCCTACTCCAATAAGAGTAGGCAGTGTACAGCACAAGTGTTGAGGGACAGTTCTGTTTCACGCTTGAAAGGAGGAACGTGTCGTACAAAGCACACTTTGTACTGAGCTGTGGGAAAAGAGGTGAATGGGAGGCAAAACCAGAAGCTTTAAGAGCAGTTCAAAACATCGCTTCCTCTCTGCCYGTCCTTGGGAGTAGTTTTGAATGAATGAAAAAACTGCACAAAATGAGACATGCATAAAACTGAGAGCTTACCTGAGCAAGGAGAGCTTTTGGAAGAAATCTCTTCCCCCTGGCTCCCACCTGACTGCAAGGGCAGGCATCTTCCCATCAGGCAGAACTTGTGCTGTGGCATTCTGCCCCTTCCCTGCCTCTGCTTCCTTCTTGGAGAGGAAGCAYAGTGCTGCAACTACCACAGTAACAAATATGGGAAATTTAGTCCTGAAAACACCTACCATGGGACTGGAAGACCATTTTTGGGCAGCACAGGTGCCTGCACTCTTCCACATAGCATGACAAGAAAATCTTAAACCTTTGCTGTCAAGAAATGTGTGACTGGTATACACTTGGGAAAGCAAAACATGAAATGCTCAAAGAAATTTTCGCCGAAGGAAAGAGTCTCTGGCATTTGCCACCTTAAGAAGGAATCTTGTATGGAAAGTTGGCATTGAACATAGCATTAATT